TAGTTGCTACAAAAGAAGAATGATTATACCTCACTCCCCAAACATCATGTGAATAAGATAAACAATGAGAACCATATTCTAGGCAAATAGGGAACCCCTTCATCCCCAAGCTATAATTATTAATATGCCTGCCTTCCTCTTCAGCAAAAGGGAAGGAGAATTTTGAAACTCCTGCAGAAACTTTTGAGTGTGGGACTTCTTAGCCATCTCTCTGTTTCAGAAGTCGGGTTGGCAACCACTCAGCTCCGGAATCTGTGGAAATAAGAGCAAACCCTCAAACCCATTGTAAAATCTCTCCTTCTTTGATTCGATAAAATATTGGTTCAGGAGGGGAACACTTTCTTTTAGGCTTAGAAAAATGAGATAGAGCTGCAGAGTCCTCCAGCGCCTGTCACTGATTGAGCAGACAGAGCGCTTTCCACCAACTATAGTGCCCCCTATAGCCCCTGCAAACATCTCAGCCTGATATGCAGTTCCGCAGATCCCTGCATAAGCTCTGATATGGGAAAAGCTATTATTCCTGGATCTGGAGGCAGCTTGTCCTTGTCATAAATGGTATCTAATCCTGAGTGTAAAGGAAAATTTTCCTCCTCCTCCCCATGATTCAGCCATGCGAAAGTGAAAGTAGCTCTGGGCAATGGAACAGCTGAAGGGCTGGGAGCCGAATGGCATTTAAGCATTTGTTTTAGCAATCCTATAAGCTCTTGAAAATCATTTCCGTCTGCCACATCATCTGATTCTTTCTTTGCTAATTCTGGACCCAATTCCTCCTCAGCTACTTCTGCATACTCCTCTTCCTCCCTTTGGATTCCATTCTGTCTCTTATCTTTATCTTTTTCTTCAGCTTTCTCCGAGTCAGTCTCTGATAACTGTAAAGCTTGAGTAATAGCACTACACAAAGACCATAGCTTTAAATTCATAGTCTGTTCCCGTTGATGAGCAGTGCGTAATGTTTTTACTACTTGTTGCCATGCTTGCGAATTCAATTGAACCTTTTCTTGACTGTAAAACCAATAACAATGTTGTTGTACATGCGCAAATAATTCTCCCAATAATTTATCTTTAATCTCCACCCCTGTAGAATAGA